CTACACATTAGACACGAAAAATCTGAAGACGAAATTAAGAAAACAATTCCCTTTACGATAGCATCAAAAAGAATAAAATACTTAGGAATAAATTTAACAAAAGTAGTTAAGACTTGCACGTTAAAACTACAAAACATTATTGAAAGAAATTAAAGACTTAAATAAATGGGAAGATATCTTGTATTCATGGACTGGCAGATATAACATTAAGATGTCAATACTCCCCAAAGTTATTAACACAATCCTTTTCAAAGTTCTAGCGACCTTTTTCCAGAACTTGAGAAGCTGATCCTAAAATTCATATGAAAATGCAAGGGACCTAGGGTAGTTAAAACAATCTTTTTTTTTTGAAACAGAGTCTCACTCTTTTGCCTGGGCTAGAGTGCCATGGCGTAAGCCTAGCTCACAGCGACCTCAAACTCCTGGGCTCAAGCAATCCTTCTGCCTCAGCCTCCCGAGTAGCTGGGACTACAGACATGTGCCACCATGCCCGGCTAATTTTTTCTATATATTTTTAGTTGTCCGATTAATTTCTTTCTACTTTTAGTAGAGACGGGGTCTCACTCTTGCTCAGGCTGGCTTCGAACTTCCGAGCTCAAACAATCTGCCTGCCTCGGCCTCCCAGAGTGCTAGGATTACAGGCGTGAGCCACAGCGCCTGGCCTTAAAACAATCTTTAAAAAAAAAAAACAAAAAACTTGGAGGACTAACACATTTTCCAATTCAAAACTTAACTACAAAACTACAGTAATCAAGGTTGTGTGGTAATGGCGTAAGGATAGGCATATAAGTTAATGTAATAGAATTGAGAGATGATAAATAAACTCACACATTTATGATCAGTTGATTTTTAACAAGGGTAACAAAGATAATTTAATAAGGGAAGAACAGTCTTTTTAATAAATGGTTCTGGGGCAAATGAACATTCACATGCCAAAGAATGAGGGTAGACCCTGACCAAACATCACATACAAAAATTAACTCAAAATGGACCAAAGAACTAAATGTAAGAGCTAAACTATAAAATTCTTAGAAGAAACATAAGTATAAAATCTTCATGACATTGGATTAGGCAATGGTTTCTTAGCTATGATACCAAAAATATAACTGACCAAAGAAAAAATAGATAAAATGTACTTGGGCAGAATTGAAAACTTTTTTCCTTCAAAAGACACAATTAAGAAAGTGAAAAGAGGTCAGATATGGTGGCTCATGCCTGTAATACTAGCACTCTGGGAGGCCAAGGTGGGAGAATCATTACAGACCAGGAGTTTGAGACCAGCCTGAGCAACACAATGAGACCCTGTCTCTACAAAAAATAAAAAATTAGCCAGGTGTGCTGAGGCAGGAGGATCTTGAGGTTGTAGTAAGCTGTGATGATGCCACTGCACTCTAACCCAGGCAGAGACCCTGTCTCAAATTAAAAACAAAAAAGTGAAAAGACAACTCACAGAAGAAAATGTTTGCAAATCACATAACTGATAAGAATCTAATACCTAGAATATATAAAGAACTCATACAACTCAATAATATAAACACAGCTAACACAACTTAGAAAATGGCCACAGGATATGAATAGACATTTCTCCTAAGAAGATACATAAATGGCCAATAAGCACATGAGAAGATGTCCAACATCATTATTCATTAGGGAAATACAAATCAAACTCACAATGGAAAACCACTTTACACCCACTGGGATGGCTATAATCAAAAGAATGCACAATAATAAGTATTGGCAATGATATTGAGAAATTGCTGGTAGGAATATAAATTGTGCAGACACTTTGAAAAACAGTCTGGCAGTTCCTCAAAAGATTAAACACAGAGTTCCCACGTGACCCACCAATTCCAATCCTAAGTAAATGTTCAAGAAAACTGAAAGCATGCATCCACACTGAAGGAACTAAAAATATCTCACCCCAAAATATATTTCTTTGATATATTTCAAGATGGCTATTCAGAAAGGCTAGAAATACAAGAATAGCTAAAAAGCTGCCTTTCGTGGGAGAGATATGCATCTGTAAAGGAAATAAAAATAAACAACAGATGCAAACAAGCTTTCTCTGAAACCCCTCCCCTCCCATCTGGATCTAGGAAAGATTAACTGAGAATCTGAAACTTTCAAAGGTCTGACAGAAATATTTACCACAGGCTACCATCTATTCTTCCTGAGAGCTGCTACCTGTGAGGTTTCATCTACATACCAAGAATGCCTTTGCTAGCCAGGCCTTTCTTCTTTCCTCCCTCCCATAACCTGTCTTGCCACCATAACCTGTTTTGCCAAGGTTCAAGGCCCTGTGGTTTCTGTAACCTTAAGATGCTATAAAAGTGTCAACCATTTGGTCATTTCTTTGAGTTTTTCATTTTTTGTGTGACTCCTGTGCCCATATGCATGTTAATAAAATTTGTATGCCTTTTTTCCTGTTAACCTATTATCACTTTGCTTTATAGTCTCAAATTATTGAACATTCTGGGGAAAAATTTAAACTTCCCAATAACACAAAAACTTGTACATGAATGTTCATAGCAGCATTACTATATGCCAAAAATGGAAACAACCCAAATGTCCACTGATTGATAAATGGATAGACAAAATGTGGTATATCCACATAATGGAGTATTAGTCCACTAAAAAATGAAGTATTTCATGCTGTAACATGGATGAACTATGAAAACATGCTAAGTCAAAGAATCCAGACACAAAAGGCCACACATAATAAGATTCCATTTATACGAAATGTCCAGAACAGGCAAATCCATACAGGCAGAGAAGAGATGAGTGGTTGTCCGGGGTTAGGGGGAGGGGAGTAACAGGGAGTGACTACTAATCGGAATGGGGTTTCTCATTGGGGTGACGAAAATATTCTGAAATTAGATAGTGGTAATGGCTCCACAATTTTATGAATATACTTAAAATTACTGACTTATATACTTTAAAAGGGTGAATTTTATGGTATATAAATCATATCCAAAAAAGGATATTCACCTAAATATCCACAATATTACCAACAAAATCAGGAAATTAACACCAATTTATTACTACATGTAATTCTCAGACGCCATTCAAGTTTTTTTAAGCATTCTAATATCATAAATATAAATATAAACACACAACAAATACACATTCACACAGAATCCAGTCCAGAGTTATACTGTATTTAGTTGTCATGTTTTTATCTCCTTCAATCCAGAATAGTTCCTCAGTCTTTGAATTTTATGACAACTATACTTTTGAAGATTATAGGTCAGATGTTTTGTGTAATGTCCCTCAATTTGGTTTTGTCTGATATTTTCATATTATTAAATTCAGATTATGCATCTTTGACAGGAATATCAGAGAAGTGATGCTATGTTCTTGTTACTGCATCCTATCAGATGGCACACAATTTTGATCTGTCCCATTACTGATGACATTCATTTGGTTGCTTGACTAAGGTACTGTTATCTGCTAGCCTTCTCCACTGTAAAGGTATTCTTTTTCTCTCCTTTATAATTATTTTGAAAAGAGGTACTTTGAAACAATGTAAATAAATGGTTCAACAGCAACTCTTACTTTATTCATTTATTTGTAATCATGTATTATTTCATTTACTGTATCATTTATTATCTTAGTATGGACTCATGATTTCTGACTTTATTCATTGGGTAATTATTATAATCAGTTACTATATACTCTGATGCTCAAATTGTCCCAGATTTGGCCTGTGGGAAACCCTTCAAGTTGGCTTCAGTGTCCTTTTTTATTTTTTATTTGTTTTTTTGAGACAGGATCTCATTCTCTTGCCCAGGCTGGAGTATGCTAGCATGATCATAGCTCACTGCGCCCTCCAACTCCTGGGCTCAAGTGATCGCCTGTCTCAGCCTCCAGAGTAGCTGGGATTATAGGCATGCGCCACCACATCCAGCTAACTCTTTAAGATTTTTTGTACAGATGAGGTCTCACTATGTGGTCTCAAACTCCTGGCCTTAACTGATACTCCTACTTTGACCTCCCAAAGTGCTGGGATTATAAGTGTAAGCCATTGCACCTGCCTCAGTGTCTTTTTGACATAGCCCCATCATTCTTTGAGCATTTCCATTCTTTCTGGCATAAAAAGATGTTCCAGGCTCATGTTATCCTTTTTTTCTGTCCAGCCCTTGGAATCAGCCCTGGTTCCTTTTAAGGAGAATGATTTTTAGAAAATAAGATCTAGATGGTAGGTGTGCTCTTTGGCTTTGGAGTCTCCTGCTCCCAGATCCTGTCATGGACAGAGTTTGAGAATATACATAAGTGCGTATGTATAGAAATATGTAAATATGTATATATATAAACAGGTATAAAATATACCTTATTAATATATTTTTATACTGATTATATATGGAAGTAATACTTTAGATACACTAGGTTAAATAAAATATATTATTAAATAAATTTCACCCATTTCTTTTTACTTTTTTCAATGTGGCTACCAGAAAATTTTGAATTACAAATATAGCTCACATTTTATTTCTACTAGACAGTGCTATTCTAGAAGTTTCTGGGTTAGTGATGGGGAACCAAAAGGTCAAAAGATTTAGGACTAGATAAATGGCCTCCTTAGAGCAAGGATAAGAACTAAAAATCCTTGTACAGCTCTAAATCCTTGCTAGCTAGAGGTGACAGACCATTCAAATGGACACTATAGAGACATAAAAGAATGCAGGCACCTAAGAATAAGAATATATGTTTTGATCAACTGATTATGTCTTTTTAAGATGTCTCCACGTGACTCTACTCTCTAATGCTGCTCTAAAATTATATATGCCAGAACAGAGGTGGTCAAAAATCTACATATTGCTTTCATTTATTTTCTTTAGGGACAACTCACCCGTTTCCTTCTTTACTTAGTCAGTAGGGATCCTTTGACCTGAATTACAAATCCTATTTTAATCATCCTTTAGTTATATGCTCTTTTCTCAAATTCGAAGTATCTCTGAATTAAGAGAAATAAGCATTTTGTCAATTTTGTCATTACTAACCTGCATTTCATATTTCAGAGTCATGTGGAAGCACCAGGATCCCATTCCTACCACTGAAATTAAAACAAATAAAAAAACAATTAGCATGAAATTCTTGAGGGTGGCCAAAGTGACTTGAGAAGACAATAAGACATTTCAAAGCACTGAGTTTTAAGAAAAACAAAGCTTATAAAATCTTGTGGCAAGATTTATTAATAGCTGACTCTGAGTAAGCTCTATAATTAATGAAATTTTGGAACAGAAGAAAACAAATACAATATAAGTTCTCTTAAATTCCCTCCACTAAGTGACTTACTAGACAATATTCCATTATTTCTATAAAATATATTACCTGATACTCAGGATACATTAATACTCATAGCTGGTCAGCTACTCTAGTACTCCCTTGCACTTCTGTTCCAAATAGCTGATTTGTATGCTTACTAAGAGCCACCCAGTTATGTTTCTTTTCAAACCTGTTAATGCCATTGTATTTAGTTATCAGAAATATGACTGTAAAAAGAGAGCTGCTATTTCTCCAAGAACTATTTAATATGCTTAAAATAGACTCAATAAAACTGAGCTGCTAATAAAAAATGCTATTGAATTAGGTGTGGTTGAGATATCTGTGAAAGATTTTGGGAAAAATACAAAAAAGTCTAAAAGGATTCTGTGTTCATGTCTCAAATTTTTCCCAAGTGCCTCCATTTTAAATAAACTGTTTTCATCTTAGGGTTTTAAAAAATGTTTGATTTTTAATTCAAGAAGCACTAAGTAGAACTAAAATTAGGGTTTCATATTCAAAGGCCATGCCCTATATCAAATAATTGTCAAAGATTATACAACTATATGTTTTAACAAAAATAAAACTTTAAGGTATGTGTATATATTTTTTCAATAATTCTATGCTTCAATTTAAAAAAATTAACTGACCAAATATCAACCCCTATAACATCTAATAATAGGGCTTCATTGATTAAGTCCAGATCAGCATTTACTGAGCACCTCCTATTTGCCAAATTCAGTTATAGATGCTGAGGTGCAAAGGTAAGATCCAGTCATTGGCCCTAATGAACCATATAATCTAATGGAGGAGAAAGGCAAATAAATGGAGGATGTATGGAGATATGCTTAGAGCACCAATGGAGCACAGAGGAGGGACACTTATAAAGAAAATCTGAGGCCGGGCGCGGTGGCTCACGCCTGTAATCCTAGCTCTCTGGGAGGCCGAGGCGGGCGGATTGTTTGAGCTCAGGAGTTCGAAACCAGCCTGAGCAAGAGCGAGACCCCGTCTCTACTAAAAATAGAAAGAAATTAATTGGACAACTAAAAATATACAGAAAAAACTAGCCGGGCATGGTGGCACATGCCTGTAGTCCCAGCTACTCGGGAGGCTGAGGCAGGAGGATCGCTTGAGCCCAGGAGTTTGAGGTTGCTGTGAGCTAGGCTGATGCCACGGCACTCTAGCCTGGGCAACAGAGCGAGACTCTGTCTCAAAAAAAAAAAAAAAAAAAAAAAAAAAAAAAAGAAAATCTGAGAAAGCAAGAATGATGGTAGAGGTTGAATTTAAGAATGTATAGGAGTTAGCCCAACAAACATAGTGAGTAGAGGTGTCACCAAATAGTTTGTATGAAGTGACCTGAGAAAAATTCCAAACTATTTGTTACTCTTGCTTTAAAAAAAAATCACTATATACATTGTTATTATTATAATACATTATTTTTACTCCTCAAAATGAGATGGGGGAAATAAAAGAGTTATTGCATTCATTTCACTAGAGAAATAAGGAAGTGGGATGGTTCCTGTCTTTTTTCCAAAGAAGAAGTTAAAAGGTGCAAAGGTGGATAAATTATTTAATGGAAGGGGGAAAAAACCCTATAGGTCCTCTAAAATCATACAATATTCTAGGAAGTAAAAAAACAAAAATGACATGGGTTGACTATTTATTCTGAAAGGTAGAACGGCCGCTTCATCATGCCTCACTCAACGGCTGTTTTTATCAAAACTATTTCGAAATGTTCTCTTGTTACTGTTAAATTACATAGCATTAAAAGTCTGATTTTTTATTTTTTTGCCTTGGCTCACAGAGCCATTAAAAGTCTGACTTTTTAGAGATTGCTACAATTTATTTCCTTTCAACAATCTGTGCAACACATAAAAAGTATTCTGATGGAAAATCTATTCTGGTGGCTACTGAGTTTTCAAATTCCTTTGAGAAAGGGGCAGCAATAGGTTTATTCCTCCATTATTTTTGTTATTTTCCTCTCTTTTAAAAATTACTGTGCTGCAATTGACCTTTCTATACATTTAGAATGCAAAGAGATGTAATAGAACAGCATCGCATTTCTATACAATATTTTATGTTTTGCCCCTAAAAAGCAAACTACCAATTTTTGCTAAAGCTTATTTACCAGCTTTACTGATATATAATTAACATATCATAAAATTCACTAAAGTATACAATTCAATTATTTTTAATATATTCAGACCTCCATCACCTCCATCTAATTTTAGAACATTTCCATCACCTCAAAAAGAAAGCTCATGCCCATTAGCAGTCACTTTCCATTTTCTCTCCACCTCTCCAGCTCTAGGCAATCATTAATCTACTTTCTGTCTCCATAGATTTGCCTATTCTGGACATTTCATATAAGTGGAATCATACAATATGTAGTTTTTTATGTCTGGCTTCTCTTGGCATAATATTTTCAAGGTCCATTTACATTGTAAAATATATCAGTGCTTCATACCTTTTATGGATGAATAATATCCCACCATGTAGACATACGTTTTATTAATATTTATCCATTTACCAGGTGATGGACATTGTTATATACTGAACGTTTATTACAGTGGGGACTCGTAGCACGAAATGAGCAAGAATTCTCAACACGAAGATTAGAATAGTTTTAAAGAAAGAAAGTTTATTTTACTTCCCCAAGGTGGGGGAAGGGCATGATGCAAGAGAAAGAAAGAAATGTCAGCACAGAGGACAAGCAGCTTGGACTTTTTATGGGGATAAAGGGAAAAAAAGAGTGATTTTTGCCAGCTGATAGCAAAAAGGTTTTTCCTTTTTTTTTCCCTTTTATCTATGAGGCTGGCTTAACATAGTCCTTTGGAATGTGGTCTGGCAAGAGCAAGAGCTGTGGAGCTCACACCCCTTCTATCTGCTCAGTTCTTTTCAAGTGCTGGAAAACAAACTCTCAAATAAAACAATGTAAGCCACAGGTGGCTAATCAAAGGGCTGTTGTACTGTGATTTTTCCCTTCAAAGGGGCAATTATGTGCTATGAGTTTATTCCTCTTTCTTTCTGTTAGAGAGTTTATTGGCAAGGCCATCCTTTCAATGTTTGTGTCCCTCCCCCCAATTCATATGTTGAAGCTCTAACCCCCAAAGTGACAGTAGTTGTAGGTGAGATCTTTGGAAGGTAATTAGGTTTAGATGAGGTCATAGGGGTAGGGCCCCCATGATGGGACTAGTGTCCTTATGAGAGGAAGAGACTGAAGTGTGCTTTTTTTCTCTCCATTGCACAAATGGAGGAAAGGTCACGTGAGATACAGCAAGAAAGTGACTGTCTGCAAGCCAGGAAGAGGACCTTCACCAGGAACCAAATCAGTTGCTACCTCGATCTTGGACTTTCCAGCCTCCAGAACTGTGAGAAATTAAAGTCTGTTGTTTAAGCCACCCAGTCTATGGTATTTTGTTACGGCAGCCTGAGCTAAGGCAGACATTTAGGTTGTTTCTACCCTTTGGCTATTATGAATAGTGCTGCTGTGAACATTCATATGCAAGTTTTTGTGTGGACATATGTTTTCAGTTTTCCCAGGTATGTACTTGGGAGTGAAATTTCTGGGTCATATGGCCTAGCATTTTGAAGAAGTGTTTTTCAAAATGTCTGTACCATTTTACATTCCCATCAGCAATATATTAGTTTCTCCACATCCTTGCCAATACTTGCCACTGGCTGTCTTTGTGATTATAGCCATCCTAGTGGATGTGAAGTGATATTTCACTATGATTTTGATTGGCATTTCCCTAAAGTACCCCATTGACTTTCAACAAATATTTACTGGGCATTTAATATTCCAAGCATTTCCCTTATGAGAAAGGAGTGAACAAAGAAATATGGTTTCTGTCTCAGAACTTCAAACAAACCATTAAAAATACAAAAAGGGAAGTTTCAGAGCTATGGGAATATACACAAAGACTAATGTTATTCCCTCATTTCGGGGGTCAAAAGAGGGCTCTCTGGGGAAATAACACTTAAGCTAGGACTTGAAGAACAAATTAGAGTTAACTAGATGACAGAGCTTTTTAAACAATGAAATCATTCTATTTAGATTCTAGAGTAAAGACAAGGTTAGTGTATTCAAAGAACTGAAAGAGCTTGGCTTAAATTATGAACAATTTGGAGCAGGAAATCCAGTGATAAGAAGGGCATGCATGGTTTGTAGGAGCTAGATTAGGAAGAGCTTTTAAAGCCAAGTTTTAAACTGATTCAGATTTGGACCTTTATCCTAAGGACAAAGTAAAATTGTTAAAAAACTACACACACATACACATACACACTGTGGGGAGTGAGCTCTGTGGCTAGTGAGTGCACTGGAACAGGCTTCCAGGAGTGGAAAGACGGGCAGCAGTGGGCAGATGAGACATGTCCTTTATTGGCGGCAGGGGGTGGGGGGGTGTGTGCAGCCACAGTGAGAGCCAGAGCACTGCGAGAGCTTATATATGGCTCAGAACAACAGTGGCAACATGCCACGGGAAAGCGTGATCACATGAGTTCACATAGCAGATAACACCTTGGTTACATAAGTGTGCTGACTTATGCCTCCCTGGAAGGCTGGTGGAAGACACTCCAGCAATTACTTTAGTTTGGCCTAAGAAATCTATTGTCTATACAAATGCATTTCCCTTACACACACACACACACACACACACACACTCCGGCAATTAATTTGGCCTATGCCTATACAAATGTATTTCCCTTACACACACACAAACACACACACACATACAAGGATTGACACGATTAGTTTTACAGTTAAAAAAATATCACTCTGGTTACAAGGCA